TTTACTTACTACTATTATATATATATATATATATATATATATATATATATATATATATATGCAAATTAAAAAAATCAAGCATGAGGTTTTTCTAATGCACCTTTATGTTCATCTACTGAACTGTTATTGGTTTTCAAATAATATGCCTTTAAGCAGCATTATTTTTATCTAGATCCTTGTATTTCTAAAAGCCCCATTGTTTTAGCTGTAATGTTAAAACAATTTCATACTATATTCTGTGAAATATAGTGCTGCAGTGATGAAAACATTCCTAGGACTGCAGCTATTGTAAAATATTTTAAGTAAGCCTGAAAAAAAATGTATTTTGGAAAAAGAAGAGCATTGAAACACCATTCTCTTCCATAGTTATGTCTGAGAAGAAGTTTCCCATAGTGATTGGTTGACTGTCACATAGTGATAGCAATGTCAAGGCAAAAATACACCTATCCAAATATTCTGCTGAAAGTGTTTATGTCTGGACACATTAGGTTAGCATACATGGCTACATGGCAAAAAAAAGCGCTGTCTATAGTCATGACTGTGTAGGATGACACAGATTCTTAATAACAAATGTAACCAGAAATCGACAGATCTATTGTTACATAATATCATCATGTCTACTAAGCCACCTTACAAAAGTTTACATTTTTAGCACTTTTCTTGTCTATTTTTGCATGGATGTCTTTGAAACTTTGTATAGATATTCCTATTAATGAAATACTAACAATTAAGTAATATGAGGTGAGGTCAAGATCAGAGAAAAATTTGTTGGCCATTTTAATGAGCAGAAAGCAAGTCAAATCTTTTCAAAATAAAACCACCCACAGAATACTTTCTGCAAAAATTTAGATCTGTCCATATCCTACCCCTGATGGGGAGGGGATCTGTTATGTTATAGAGAGAATGCTTGGGATGGAAAGCATATATTCAGTCACACAGGAAGAGATCTGGGATGAAGTTGTTTGAGCTGCATAACAGCTAAATAACTGGTACACGAGTCACCATCTGATGAAGAAATTATGTGCCCAAAAAATTATATTGTAATATCTGAAGACTAAACTAAAGAGACATTCCTCATGTTCTACAAAACAAAAGAGAAACTGAAAAAGAGGTAATATTGTTACTGCTTGTTGTTACAAGCTGATGATTTTGAATTAGATGGGTCCTAGTGAAGTCACATTAACAAGTACAATTCATGATGCATAAATATGCAAGTTTCATAAAATATTGATACAGCCTACAAGCCATCAGTGGTGCTAGACTAAAATAAACACATGGAAGGAGTCGACCTCAGAGATTCTCAACTACACAATTACAAGACAGTAAGGGAAAAAATGAAGAAATATTACCTAAACATTTTTATGAATTTGTTTGACACTGCAATGTTCAATGCTTTTTTACATATAAAAGAAAAATGTTGGTCAGTTGAGAAGATTTAATTTCAATATGAATCTTGCATAGTTACTAGTCTCAGAAGGAGGCATGTAAACAATACTAAAGTCAGATGCCCATCTACCCCAGCAAAGCCAAGTAGGCTACTAGAAAGGAATAGGAAGGTGAATTGCATATTACAAGGGAGGTAAGAGAAAAAAAAAAAACTGCAGTACTAGTATGCAGATTGATGTGTCAATGCCCAGCAAAGTTTCAGAGCATATACACAATGGCAAATTAATAGGCAATTTATGTGACCCAAAGTTGTATTTCACCATTAATTCAACTTAATCAAACTTTTACAGAAAGTCAATTATTACAACTAAGAAGAAAAAATGAATTTCTGTCCCAAAAATTACACAATTAAGGAGTCAAAATCAATCTTAAAAAACATTGTGAATATTATCATTGAACATGTTTATCTATTTCAAAAACCATGATGCAACATAAATTACACTAAAAAAGTCCAGTAGTGATGTATTCCACATGAAAAACAGGAACAGCAGGTCATTTCAGTGACACATACAAGTTCCCCGACACATAAAAATCACAAATATTTTATTACACTGGAAAAATTATGTTTATAAAGATATTTTTTATGCTTTTATCACACCTCACATTAAAAACTTAAATAAAAGAATAAATATTTGAAAGTACAATAATTATTTCTTCATGTTTTTAAGACTTCTAAGTGATGATATATGAATATTAATTAAGTCAAAAATTAAAAATTAAAAGCCTACACACCCTCTAAATATCTACAATCTTTATGCACAATCAAAGAATCTATACAGATGATGGTCTATAAATTTTCTACTCGACTCTACAAAAAAGTTACTTAACACACACAAATAAAACATAAATGGATAACAAGCAACAAAATGACAATAATGAAATATGTTTTAAGTTATTTTAGACCAAGTATGATTTTAAATTAGTACCAGTGTTTTTTTTTTTGTTTAAGAAACCATGAAAAGATAATATAACAAATACAAACTTATGCTAAATCTTACCAGTGTTTTTTTTTGTTTAAGAAACCATCAAAAGATAATATAACAAATACAAACTTATGCTAGATCTTACCTCGTACGTGGCACTAAGAACAATGTCCGGACTAACTTTTTTCTGTTAGGTTTCGTGTTTAAATTCATACAAAAGTCCACAGCAGCCTAGAAAAAATTTTGAAATGCAGTTTCTTTTTGCTTTCACAATAACATAACAACAGTACTTTACTATTACACAAGGTTATAATTTTCCTACACTGAAAATATATTTCCGACAGTACTTACTTCAACTCACATACATAGCTATTCTTGTTTCAGTGCTGCCTTCTATTTGCAAAATTTTTTCATATGCCTTTCACTCCCACATACACCCCTCGATTCATGTGGGTTAACTGATTCTTGCATGCAAATTATTATGTGACAAACCTCCACAAATAGTAGTATGACACACCCACGTGACTCCCTCTATGCTATTCTACCTAACTATCACTTCAAGTTTAGGCAGAAATGTAAGTACTGGTTGACAGTGGGGAGGAAGTGCTAGTGGAAGTAAGTACCTATTGGAAATACATTTTCAGTGTAAGAAAATTATAACTTCCAACAAGGTACCTTACTTCTTACATACATAGCTAAAATCCCACATTGAAAAGGTGGAGGGATTGATGCGAAGAAAAAAGTAGAAGCATTCATTGAAAGCATCCAAAGGACACCCTAATGAGGGAACCCTCTAATAACAGGATTGGATTATACGTGGGAGACTACACCACTTTTGTACCAGGTATACTCTTCATCCAGATATGGAAAAGGGGTGACAGATACAAGCAGAAAATTGTGAGGAGCACGTCCCAATGGGAGAGAAAACTATCCCCTGTTCAGGAGCTAACAGAAGTTGGGTAAAACACAAACTACCTGACGAAAGACATCCAATGGGAGAGAAAACTATCCCCTGTTCAGGAGCTAACAGAAGTTGGGTAAAACACAAACTACCTGACGAAAGACATACAGAACCAAAGGAAGTCCGTAGGGCAAGGCACAAAGCTGGTACCGAATCACACGGTAAAAAAAAAACAAAGATAGTGTCCCGAGAAATGAAAAATAAGAACGAGTAACGTGGGAATTCTCAGTCCTGCAGAAGTTGCCCACCCAACTGTGATCAGACTTCATATTAAAATAGGAAAAACCAAGAAGTGAGTGAGGAAGGACCGATATATCTAGAACTCCAATCAGCATCGAGCATACACAAAGAATAGACAGGTAGAGGATGGGAAGGTGCCAGACATGGAACATGAATAAAGATGGCAATAACTCAGATTGCAACAAAAGAGCAATCAAAAAAAAAAAAGAATACAGCATTGCAAATACCTCACATGATACTAAATGCACAGAGGTAGACAAAAAAAAAAACAGACCAGTGGAGAAAAAGAGCTGACCGTTAGAAGTGGATGGTAAACAAACAGTACAAGATAGTGTCCCACCCCAGAAGATTCCAAAAGCAAAGAAGCCACATATGGATGGAAAGAACTGAAGAAGGCAAATGCTCCAACATGGAGGGAGGGAGGAAGAGGTATCCCATGAAAATCCCCTAGATATAGGTGAAACGCCTAAGAATGGAGGTGTAAGGTAGACATTTCTTATAGGAGAGTTGATATGGTAAGACAAAGCTGGAAAACTAGGTGGGGAATAAAAAGATAGGATTAACTCAATCTAAAAAAGGTTGAGATAGGCCTAGCAGATTCCGCAGTAGAGGCCTAGGAAGGCAAGCCACAATCAGGTGGAGGAAAACTGACAAAATCTAGGTTGTACTAAACAGGTTCGGTAATCATAGGAGGAAGGTGAGCAATATCGGGAGAAAGTAGGATGGACTCCGACCCCCAGGGGTCCTCACAAACTAAAATAGGTCTAAAAATTATAAATTATATGAAATTATGAAAATGAAATAGTCGAAATGTATAGTGAAATAAACATGTATAAGATGTTATATGTTGAAGAAAACAAGATATTTAACCTAATTATTGATTTACCCATAAGTAGAAATACAGTAAATCAAAAATAACAGGCACTTGTTAAGCCTAATTGAGCTGTGCAGGACAAAGTTTATCACTGAGCTTTAATTTAAAAACCTTAATATAAGAACAATATGTACAATATCGGAAAAAGAAATCTGTGCAGATCTCGGCTCCAGGAGTTCACACAAACAAAGTTAATATGAAGAAGTATAAAAGATAAATAATAACAAAAATGAAATCAATGTTATATTGTAAAATTAAGTAAGTATATATTGACAATAACATACTTATGAGATGTAATGTTTTGAACAAAAAACAATATAGTTAACCTTATTTATGATATACCAATAAGAGGAATTAGAAGTAATCCTAAAATAACAAAGATCCATGTTAAGCCTAATCTAACGTTATAGGACAAAGGATTCAACTAAGCTCTAATTTCAAACCTGAACTTGAGTATGAGTATTGACCAATCCAACTAAACTTATGTTAGTGAACCCAAATAACTACAGATAATAATATTAATAGTAAAAATATTAAAAAGCCATAACAGTATGATGCCTTATCTTTCCAAAGTTGCAGGACTGTATTTCAAAATGTGGGCCCCCAAACTCAAGTTGAGGCCAAATGAAGGTCAGCTCATAGGACAATCAATCTCTCGATAAAGTAAAGCCAATAATTCCCCAGTCGAGGACCGCCACCTGAAGTCCGTGTAAACGTGCTGATAGATGATACAACCTTCAAAGTGGTAACTTTGAATTTGGAATTCATAATTTAAAATTCATAACTAAACACAACTGGTTGACAGAAAGAAATAAAAAGTAGAAAAATAGGTAATGAAGTATGTTCTATAATTTGATAGAAACATAAAATAATTCCACTTCGGAATAAGTTACAAATGTCACTATTGTATAATAAATAGTAAACTCGTTGAGAGAAATTAATATGAAGATACGAAAGAAAAAACACTTGAAGAAAGCACAAACTAAACGTCAGAACATGAGCACTGCCAAATGAGAAGTGATAGTTAGGTAGAATAACAGAGGGAGTCATGTGTGTGTGTGTGTGTGTGTGTGGCACGTCTCTTGGTGGAGGTTTGTTGCATGACAATTTGCATGCATGAATCAGTTAAACCATGTGAACTGAGGGGTATGCAGGAGTGAAAGGTTTGTGACATGTGGAAAACAAAATTGAAAATAGAGGGCAGCATTGAACAATAGCTATGTACGTGAGCAGAAATAAGGTACCTTGTTGAAACTAAATTTCTACTGCAGACAATACTGAAGCATAGATGCTCTCAGCTAAACACATTTCTTCTTAATAATATCGAAAATGCACAAAAAATAGTAATTCAGGAATTTAATTCACATTAGTAGACATTTTCCTTAATTTAGTAATAAATTTCTAAACATTTTCAAAAGAAAGTAAAATAAATAAACACTCTTGATTCTCAAGTTTTAAGCTCAAAAACTGTTATAAAAATCAATGTCTCTTACAACACTTTTATACACACATTACATATTTCTGTGAACATGAAACCCATAATTTGTTCTTCAAGTCCATATTATTTAGAAATGCTACAAAATAAAATAGTAACTGAAATTTGAATAAACATTATTATTTTTTTTACATAAATGTTTTTCTATCAATATTACAAACCCTCCATGAAGTGGTCTAAATCTGGTGGTAAAAGAAAATCTCACCTGGTCAATCATTTCTCTGTTAACACAGTTTAGAAGAGAAAATAAAAATCCATCGAGGATCATCTTGTTGGTAGCAACTATGCCAGAATTTTCGTCTGATTCTAAAATAAATAAAGCATTTTATGAAGCATGGGGTTTGAGTTAATAAGTAATGTTGCAATATTTGTTATACTTTTTTTTCTACAATTTATGATCACATCCCATTTCAATTTCTCTAAAAAATAAATCATCAAACAGCTTGCTTTTTTTTTTAATTACCCTTGGATGGTATTTTTAACAAAAACATTTTTCACTAACTGAAAATAAGACAAAGAAAAGAAAATGTAAGGAGGTTTTCTAAAGTAAAAAAAAAAGCAATTAAATTAAGAAGTAATATATAAATCATCAAGAAAAGTAAAATTTATTGGTAGCATTCACAGAGTACAATAATCTTTTAATACAAAAACAAGGCTTTATAAACATACTTCTATATCCATCCTATACATCCAAGCACACCCAGAACACTTGATAAGGAGGATAACACAAAGAATAAGTAAGGAACAAAATTATACATACACACAGATGTCCTATGTCAAAGGTCTCTCTGAAGACATATAAAGCACACATAAACACAATATAGTCAGAACAGTATTCAGAAACCATATTGTAATACAATATACAGGAAATACTTTTAAAGAGTCCAAATATAACTTTTATATCATATTCAAAGTATTACATCACTTTGTGTCATTATACTCATAAAGGTTTCTTGATGTTTGATTCAATTTCAGCCCTTCCCTGACTTGTAGTTCTTAAATATTTTGGATGTCAATGTGAAACATTGTATGAAGATTTTTTATGGAAAACTAGTTCAAAAATGTGGATAAGGAAATTCTGCTGTTTTTTTAACTATTTTCAGTAGTAAATAAAAAAGTATTCAGAAATAGTATGAAATTACCTTATAGTCAATGGGCAAACATGTTACTGGCTTTCTATAATTAACTATTTGCATATGCAACAATATTTTTGCACCCTCTCTGGACAAAATATAAACATCTACAATTTTCTGTGTGTTTCAATCAGTTACAAAGTACTTAAATACTAACTCTGATACTAAGTTAGTTTTAGTTATTGACCTTGCCAGTCCTCCTTACTTAATATGATGCAATATTTGGACTCACTAGCAGTGAATGGTATACAAGCAAGTTGGTAACGTGAGGGGTTAAATGCTTACAAGTACTCAGAGAAAGTAAAAAAATGAAGACAACTTTTACAACAGGTTTGTTATTCTTAAATATGACATATGCAATGCTCAAATAACTTTTAGATGATCAATGGAGCATATTCTGAGTGGATTGTCATGGCATAGTTACCTGGATGAAATCACAACCCACAGAAAGACTTTCATGTCACAGTGTTGACCTGCAGAAAGTACTTGTCTGTCTGATAAGGACAAACTAAACCAGAGAAATGTGATCATCTTTTCTGCAGTGTTTTTTGTTACAAGTGACAAGGAGATACGTTTCCACGTATCCAAGAAAGTCTGAAGATGTACAAGTTCACACATATATCAAAGGATATTTGGATCTATAATATTGCTACTATCATTTGCTAAAGTCATTACTTTAGCCAGCTCATCCTCTTCAAAAAATGTTGTTCTTGGAAAGATTTATCTCAACATCAGCTATTCACACTGTGTCATTTCCACTACTACCAGCATAACCTCAAGTTTACCTTCCAAACTGATTATTTACAGTTAATACCTTAGCTGCAGAAAACATGACTGTGATGATATCTTTACAAGTATGACTTTACTACAGCACATAATTCAGTAAAGAAACATGGAAATGGAAATTCATTATTAAACCTAGTTTAAAGCTAGGTTCTTTATGTGCCTTAATAAGGTAGTGATGAATTTAAATGGTCTACTACACAGCTTCGAAAACCAAAGAGTACAAGGATTCTTTCATTATTGGGCCACTCATTTGATGAATTAAAGAGAAAAAGCACAAATCTCAGCAAACATCAGCTCCCTAAAGTACAATAAAGTCTATTTATTTCATTTAAAGTTTAAAATTAGCATTCTCTACAGTTAGTGAGAAAATACAAGGAAACCACAAAGAACAACTGTAGTTGGTATTATCCAGATACTCCAATTATAAGGACTTTATCAATTTTAAACAGCTATACAACTAGGTGCTAAGATGACTTCAGAGAGAGCACATAAAAGATATTTCACTAGTTGTATTAAGACTGATACTAAACCTCAACCTGTGCCATGTAAAGAATGAATCCCACAAGCAATAGTATAGTCAATTACTACAGTAGTGTATAAATCAATGTTCTTGGTTCACTGCTAAATTCAGGTGAATGATTAAGGTTCTCACATTATGGTAGAGCCCAGAAACATATGCAAAACCAAATTAAGAAATTGAAACACTGGTGTGGAATTTGTTAATCCTATGGACATGTAAATACAGTTGCATCCAAACTGTAAACTACTTTATTATGAATATATGTTAATAAACTTGCCAGCAAAAAATGTAGTTTATAATTAAATCTTTTTATATTAACTAAGTTTTAATTTCTTAATTTCAAGAGGAAATAGCTAAATAAATTGTCAATCTGCACCTGAGTCACATGACAGAGTGAAACAATAAATTCTCATTTCCAGATTTTTTCTCTTTCTTGTAAGGGCTTCAGATTGTTCAACCATTAGAAATACACATTATAGATACTGGCAAGCCACAATATACAATTTCAACCTCTTCTTGCATTACTGAGATATCAGTATATTTGTTCAACCCAAGGACATGCCCCTCCCATATCCTCCATAATTTAAGAAATGTCCATAATTCTCTCTGAGAGCGCTATTAGAAATGCATAATCAATAGGAAGAACTTGGTGTTCACTGATTGGACTGAAACAATTACTGAGAGTACCCTGACTGAGGATATGCTGTTGATTATCTGTGCATCAACTATATTTTGATTTATCTCAGAAAGAGTATATTCTACATTACATAGAGCAAACTACTGTCTTTATTGTTTTAGCAATCAAAGCTGATAGTTTGCAAGGAGAAACTAATGTGTTTTGACTAAAGATGTTGTTCAAAGCAGTAATAGCATTTTTAAACTAATCTATAGGTCAGTTAAAAAGCCAAATAAATTATAGTAGTTTTGGGGCATTCTATTCTTGTGCCTAGTATATTTTTTGTCACCTAAAATGCATATTGAAAGCTAAGTAAATTAGTATTTGACAATGCACATAGCGAGAAAAAAAATAAGCTTAATAAACCAAGCATCTGAGTGCAAAAGGCCTCAAGGCTAAAATAAGTGCTCAATTACCTGTTTTGTATATATATATATATATATATATATATATATTTTCATTTATTGTTATATATATTTTAACATGAGTAACAATAATGTAAAAATTAGAAAAATTAAGAAACAATATTTCTGTAATCTTTCTTGGAGGAATGCATGCAAGCTGCCATCTCACGATGCACCTTGATAGTTTGTTTACCCTAAACACTTTCCTGGTGATTTATTGCTTTGTTATGCTAGTGAGACATGGTTCAAAGAACAATGTCTAAAATGGAAGGAGTTGTGAAAAAGTTAAGAAGCCTGAAACTGTTAGGAAAAATAATTATAATTGTGTTATAATCTGCATTCATTCAAGAAAAAAAAGCATTTCTTATTATATTTAGGATTTTTCAACTTTCATTCACTGTACATTGATTATTTCACTATATTTAGTGTTAGGGTAGAAAGAATAAGAGATAAATTATAAAGTTTTACAGAAAAAACTTGTGATATTCATTTAGGGGACTCAAAGTTATATATATGAATTATGAAAAGAAGTATTTTTCTTCTTTGCATGAAGGTTGCTTTTCACTCAGCCCGACTCAGTAAATACTTAATAAAGTAAGAGACAAATCTGTAGTAAAAATACCATTGAAAGAGCACATTTTTTCGTGTAAAAGCTATCCATAATGCTTACTAAAAGCTTGAATAATTTCACGACAATAAACTTATTACATTAATAGTTATAGCAACGCGTGTATAATTTCATGGTTACAAGATTGGTCAAACTGACAGAGCTTATCTCTACATGGTTAATCGAGCATGCCTTGAGGAATGAGTACTCGTGAACTTCACTCTGACCAAAGATGGAACTCTGAGCCAATGCTCTTTACTATGTTCATAAAATCATGAGAATTAGGAAAACAAAGAAAACAGTACATCATTCTTCAAACAAACATACAAAATAAAACAAAAGAACAGTGACACATCCATTTGTAATGTATTATTAGGAGGAAGTCTACTACAACACATGGAACCTGCATTTCTTATGAGCGGTTGAAACTGAAAAAAGCTATTAGACCTTCACTTGCCAACCCTAGTGACCATGTGTTTGACCAATCATACAAAATATTCACCATACAAACAATAAATCAATGACACCATATGTAATTCTTCCTACATAAGGATTAAATCAGCAATGACAAAACAAAGACAGCAAATTTTCAGGGCTGACAAGTCTGGGTTCTGGTGTAGTTATATGAATGAAATATAAAAAGATATATCTCAAAAATTGAGTTGATTATGAAAGCTTACATGCAATGATTAAAAGAACTAAAATATGTAATACTGATTTTCAGAGAGCAAAAACACAGGAAGACAAAAATTGTCTGTTTTGACCAGCAGCAATGATACTATAGTGAGAAGACAGCCTACTTATTATCTGTGGAAGTGCTAAAATAATGGAAAATCTTTCAAATAAGGAATCTGCAAATAAAGAAGAGTTAAAAACCACAAAATTCTAAGCATCAAGCTCTGAAATCACAACCCAAAGGTAAAAAAATTTAAAAGAAGAAAACTAAAACTTTTGGAGATTAGAATATTAAAGCTACATTTCAGATGGAGCTGTATGCAAGACTCTGAAGAGGGTATAACAAAGTGGCATAATAATAGAAGTGGTTGAAGTAGAAAACCAAAACTTTCCAAAAGCAATGTTAAGTATCTCAGAGTAGGTTCTTTATGAGATAGTTATGTTGAGTATACATATGTTGCTGTGAATGTTATTTTGAAAACAGTAATATACACATTAGCATATAGTGGTATAACTGCTTGAAAACCACTGCTGAGAAAATTTAACCAAACCAAAAACTGAAATGGGCAATGGACCACAAACAGTGGAATGAATATAACTGGAAACAAGTGCTCTTTACAGAAAAATACAAGTTTGAATTATTCAACATCAATAAATGGCAATTTGTTTAATTCCCACGTGTTAATTAAAAAAAAAGGTTTACCGAGAAATAATAAAAAATCTACGTTACCATCTACATCCTGCAAGATTGTCTCTGTTAAATCTTTTTCATCTTGTTTACTGCTGGTTTCAGACTTTGTATCAGAATCTTCCAATTTTTCTTCCTCTAGTTCCAAGGCTTCTACTTCATCAAGTTCCAGTTTACTGAGTTCTAAGATGAAAATTCACTGCTGTTAAATATCATATTCACTTTACTCTGTTCTAAGGGCAATACTACAGCTGTTGCAAAATAATATTTCACTACATTTTCATTTTATTCACTCACTTCAGAGGTACTCTTGGGCTATGAAGAAAATACTATTAAAATACATGAGTGCAATCAATTGCAAGGCTCTAAGTTATTAACAGTTATATTCGACCAAGTGTATTAAGTATTACAAGATATTCATAATTTCATTTTGTAAATAACACTCAATGTAACACTTTAAATAGCATCAAAACAGTTTCCTTAGTCTTAAAGCAAATAAAAATTGCAAATAATGCTATTACAAGATCTCCTCACCTTCTTCTAGGCCTGCATCCATTGGTTCTAGCTGACTTTTCAGTATAGGAGCCTGAGCACTATCCTTGAAAAGAATCTAATCAAATAAAATTTATAAAATGTTTTTTTTAATTTATAAAGAAAATAACTTTTTTTTTTACAATTAACAAAAGCAAAAGAGAAGCACTTAGTAGATAATCATTGAGAATACTGTTAAATATTTTAGACTGAGTGAATTACACAAGACAGGCTTAATTCTGAGTAATTACATTCTATACTTCATTTTAGTTTTATTTTAATACGTGTCATACTATGGAATTGTTGGTTACCAAAACTTTCCAGTGTGAAAACTGTTAAAAACCATGTATTTAGATGTATCTTGAGCCAAGAAATTCTCACAATTGTTTTTTTACAAAAAAATTGAATAAATATTTTAAAAGTTACGATGCTTTGTTTCCAAATGGATGTGCATTGTAAAGCACAGAGGCACGGTAATACAATTATTATGGGATGGTAACTGTTTGGCTCTTCTTTAGCTGTGACTGCATTCAAGAAACTAATGACTTCAGGGAAACCATCATTGTGAATGTTGTCTTTGAGCTCGCAGACTGCATTTTCAGGTGTAATGGTGTAGTTCGATTAAGACACAATAGATATCAATGTGTGTCTGTAAGGTTACTGTATTCCACTGAAACAAGTCATGTCAAGAGTACCATGTTTTTTGTACTTCGCTGTCAGGGCTGTGATACACTGATGAATCTCCATGTCAGATGGTATATCGATTCGATTAGGATATGTAGATCACAGTTCTTCAAGCATTCTTCCGGGGCCCATTTTATTCCAATTATCCTCAAGACCTTTCTTGAACATCATCCTTGAATCTATCTATATACTTTTGGACAAAAATGTTACCATATGGTGGATGTAATGCCCAACCTAGAGTAAATTCCTCCATAAAGTAGTTGGAATTCAATGGTTGCTTCCCACCATGCTTTTGAGATATTTTAACTGCAGGGGAAAAACCTGTCACATGAACAATCACAACAGTGGCACTTTAAGCATACTCCATAATGTAAATGGTTGCATTTGCATGTTAAATGCTCCATGAGAGCTTCTTTACTGTTCCCTACCACATTATTCTTGACCTGGCCATCAACAGAATCACCGATTCAATAAAAGTAGTGCCAAACAACCACATTTCAGCTAATGAGAATACTTACGAAGTTATAGCAAAAACAAAACAAAAAACTCCAATGGGTTAGAATTTCTTGATCAACAACAAAGACCCTCCTTTGCTCATACAACACATATTAAATTTATATTTACAGTAAAGCTCCTAAGTGCATTGTTTTATTAATAACATTGCTCATGTGCTCAGGAGTATCAAGAGCCAGCACAGACTCTGGGGCAAACATCCTCACCAGGCCCCCTTTTTCTCTCTCTTTTTCAACATTTTAAAGAATTTATTAAAAAAGAAGGTCCAAAATTAGGACAACAATGAGCTCATAAAAAGCCAAAACCATAGCAGCAGCTATTTTTAGCTCACAGTATAAGCATAAAAATGTTAATAAAGTAACAATAAATAACTATCAAATCTATAAAGTAACAAATATATATCAATCATTATTTCAATCATTCTTAAAGCTCTTGACCTCTTCCTCCCCCAGAAAATATAATTGATGAACATTTAAAAACATTTTAAACAATAATCTAAAATTTATATTTTGAAAATTTAAAAAGCGGGGAGATGTAAGTTAATATTCAATACAGGAATCTACTTTTATAATTTGGAAAATTTTCAGTTTTGTCCCTTCCCCACACCATATGGGAATCAAGGAGTTTCAAGGGTTCTCAGGATTAGCTGCACCAACTTACATGAAAATTAAGAATTTAAATGATTATTCAAAACAATATATATATATATATATATATATATATACTATT